CAAATATCCATTCGAAATGGAACAAAGGGCAAGAGGATTAGTATTTGTGTGGATAGTCAGGCGGCCTTGGGGGTCTCTGAAAAATCCCACAATAGAATCAAAACTCGTCTGGGAATGCCACAGCGTACTAGATGAGTTAGGTTCAGCAAATAAACTTCCATTGATTTGGGTACCGGGTCACTCGGGAATCAAGGGTAATGAAAGAGTAGACGTCTTGGCGAAAATCGGTTCCGAAACGGAATTTATAGGTCCTGAACCAGCAGTGGCAATAATGCCGTGCTTGGTTAAGGGAGCCATAGAAAGATAGGGTCAAAAGGAACATGAGAAGTATTGGGCGAACGTTAGGGTGGGAAGGCAAGTGAAAACTCTGTTGGGGCTAGCACTCAACAAGAGGCGAGCGAGCGATCTCCTAAAACTCGATAAGATCAGAGTTAGAACCGTAGTTCGTCTACTTACGGGTCATGGACTATTGAATTACCATCAGCATAAAATAGGCAGACAAGTTTCACCTATGTGCAGACTGTGTGGGGAGAGTAACAAAACTTCGACTCACATATTATCTGAATGCCCAGCGCTATCTAGGATCAGGCTATCTAGTTGGGGTCAAGCAATTATTGACCCTAAACAGGTGAGCAACCTATCGATAGAAGAGATACTGGACTTCTGGAGAAGAACAGGACTCTAAAGGAGAGTCCAGAATAGAGTCGACGTCGGTATGAACGCGCTGATACTAACGCGCTCCTCCTATGTATTCCATATGGACGAGCGCGTTACTTTCAGCGCGTTCGACTCTATTCTGGACTCTCCTTAAGGGGTTGCTATAAACGAGCGAGCTGGAGTCTGGTACAATGGGTTTTATATCCTAGGTGCTTACTTTCCCCTCTTGAGGAAAATCCAGCTCGATCTCGGTTGTTAGATTAGATTAGTTATAGGACATTATTTTTGGCAAAACTATTCTAAAATGTGACTAAATAACATGTTATACTCAATTATAGAAAGTTTGAAAGCATTTTTTAAAAAAATGTAAAATTTGAAAATTTTTGATATTTGAATTTCTCGAGAAAATTGAGTATCTCCCGTTCTAATCAATATTTTTCAAATCTGTAAATTTATAAACCTTCCTTGGCCCAAGGTTTAACATTCTGCCAAATTTGGTTTCAAATGGTTCAGCAGTTTTTAAGTGATGCGCGAACAAAGATTCTGTGACATACCGACACACATACATACACGAAATTTTTTATTGGTATACTTGGAATCCTTGATGCCTAAAACGAATAATTATGTGCGAAATTTAAAGTTCTGAGCAATGTACAGACAAAAGTCTGATTTTATATATATAGATATATGTTTAGTAGTCTCATGAACGCTAGTGTTATAGCTTAACATTGCTATATCAATCCATTCGTCCCATTCATTGTCTGCATCGGCGTATTGTTTTAAGAAGTCAGCCAATGAATGGTGAGATCTTTCTAGTGAACCATTAGATTGGGGGTGAAAAGCCGTGGTGCGAATTCTCTTTATTCTGAATCTTTTTGATACTCTGACCATCAATTCACTAAGAAAATTCCTACCTTGGTCAGTTAAGACAGTTTTGGGAGAGCCGAAAACAAATATACATTTTTTTATGAAAGCGTCGGCTATAGTACTTGATAGTACTTACCATGGGTTGTTTAGTTTTTAAACGTACTAGCTTTTTTAATTGACAGTCTAAACATTGTTGTACTCGTCTAATCACGTCGTCTTTTAGTCTTTCCCAGAAATATGAAATATGAAATTCGTCAAAGATATCATTTCTTTTTTCAAAAGGGACATATTTGACGGTGCCATAACAAACCAGAATAGTTAAATTTGATCCTTGAAAAGTTAATTTAATTAAATTTTGTATTTCTTCCTAATCCAAATTTTCAATTTTTTCACTTTTAGCTATTGAAAATTCGTTTTGGTTTATTTCTTCAAGATGTTTTTTCAATTTTTTTAGCAATTTAAGAATTGAATCTCTTATTTGAGATAGAAATTGGGGAGTATCATCTTTTAAACACATTGCAAATAAATGTCTATTATTTTTCCTTTTAATTATGTTAATTTCACCTATTGTAAAATTACCTTTATATGGAATTTTGTTGTGTTCAATTAATTTTTCGGCACCAAAATCACAAGGAGAACCTTTAGTGGTTACAAAATACGCGATGTTATCTTTCCTATATTAAATAGGTTTCCTAGTTTTTATTAGATTAGTTTTCCTAACTTCAAAATCTAGGTTTTGAGAATCTTCAGAAGAAATTGAGCTAGAGTCTTCTGAATTAGTATCCGAGTCATGGCGTAAATATCTTCTTTTTCTAGCGTTTTTTCTTGGATTGGGAAAAATGACATCCCGTGACGTGATGTCTTTTTCTTTGACAGTAATCTTTCTTGGGCGTCCTTTTTTTCATTACTTTAATTTTCGAGGTTTGTGGGGGTTTGTTTTTAGGGAATAATTCTTCTTCAAAATCGTCTGGAGAGTCCTTCCTGAGTTTAAGTTCAGGGCTCTTGAGGGGTACAGGATCTGCATTAGATTCCTCTTTAGAATCTTCGTTTTCTTCGTAATTGGGTAAGGGGATTCCTAAATTCCGTTTGGGAAACCTTCGAAAAGTACGATCTTCTAAGGTTGCATCTAGGATAGGACGATCTTCTTTTTGAGATTCGTTAAGATTTGGTAAAGAAGGTTTGGGTTTAGACGCGAGATCAATTGCAGGATTAGAAGTTTTACTCGGAATTGGTGAGGAGGGTTTAGGTTTTGGGATTTGAGGAATTTGAATATCACGAGATTCTAATTCTTCTAATTTCTTTTGAGCTCTTGTTAGAACATTAATAAATGTTTCTTCAATAGGATTCCTAGAGAGAGCATCTGCATTGGTGTTAGTTTTTCCTGATCTATGAATAATAGTGTATTCATATTCAGAAAGTTTAAAGCGCCATTTTTGGATTCGCGTATTTAAGGTAGCGGTTTTAAACCAAACTAATGGTTGATAATCTGTGTAGATTGTAATTTTCCTACCATACACGTACGACCTAAATGCTTCAACGAAATCGATTACAGCTTTGGCCTCTTTTTCATATACTTCATAATTAATTTCTGGGCCTCGTAAAACTCAGGAGAAATACGCGATTGGTTTGTCTTTTCCTATATCACCTTGGGATAATATTCCTCCTATTGCATAACCTGACTTCTTGTTTTAAAAATTCACATTTGTCTACTTGGAGTTTTAGACCTGCATCACTTAACCTTTCTATTAGAAGATTTAGTTTGTAATCATGTTCTTCTATACTGTTTGCATAGGTTACTATGTCGTCCAAATAAACAAAGAGAATTTCACCTTGTAACCCTTTTAAAACTTGATCCATAAGTCGCTGAAAAGTAGCGGGTGCAGTTTTAAGACCAAAAGGCATACGGGTGAATTCATAATGACCAAATGGTGTACTAAAGGCTGTTTTATGGGCATCTCTGGGATCCATTTTAATTTAAAGAAAACCTTTAGCTAAATCAAGAACTGAGTAATATTTGGCACCTCCTACTTGGTCAAAAATTTCTGTGTTATTAGGTAATGGGTATGCGTCTCCTAAGGTTTTTTTGTTAAGAGCTCGAAAATCTAACACTACTCTCTACTTAATATTCCCTTCTGAGTCAGGGTTTTTCTGTACAATCCATAATGGTGTACTGTACTGAGAATTGGAAGGTTTAATAATTCCTGCATCTAATAGTTCTTTTACTTGTTTTAGAATTTCTTTTTTCATTGAATGGGGGAATCTGTACTGTTTTGAATATACAGGAATATCGTCTGTAGTAGGGATTCTATGCATAACTTTATCCGTACCAGTGAGTTCACCTCCAGGAAGGAAGAAATGATGCCTATATTGTCTAACTAATTGTAAAACATGAGCTTTTTCTTCAGGATTTAAATGATCTAAACGCAAATAATCTTTCATATCAATTGGTTCCGAGTTAAGTGAAGGTTCTTCGTCAAGAGTGAATTTATCTAATTCTGGTGAGTAATCTTCATCACACAGGTTAATATTCAAGTCGTTTTTCATTTCCAAATTAGAAATAAGAAAGACGTGTTTTTCTGCTAAACTTTTAATTTCATCTTCTTGGCAATTCTCATGGTTTAAAGAATTTTGAACTTCAGAACTAGGAATTTGATTGATTTGTCTATTGATGGAATTTTTGATTTTATATTCTATACAATATTTCATATTGTGTACTATAAATATCGAGTTTTCAAAGTCAATTATTGCTTCGCTTTCTTGAAAATATCTTGATCCTAATATAGCTTCACAAGGTAATACAATTTCGTCGTCTATTATTTGAAATTCTGATTCTGCTCCGAAAATGCACAAATCTAAACTACCTAGTGTTTTTATTGTGTCTGGAAATATACCTTTTAAAATTTGTTTCCTATTAGAATCGTATCTATCACCTGGGAACAACAATTTTTCTTTCATTAAATTTACTTCTGATCCGGTATCAATCAAAAAGGAAGTACTAATGTTACTAATCATATGTTGTATGGTTAGCACAGGTAGTCTACCTATAATACTACTTTGTTCAGTGTAGTATACGTCTGGCATTTTTTTTAAATTAGTTAAACCCATTCTTTTCATTTGAATTTTAGTATTTTCGATTTGTAGTTTTTGAGTTTTAAAATTCAATTTACTTTTTGTTTAAAAGAAAAATTGAGTTCCTAGTATTCCATCATAAGGAATTGGAATAGAATCTGAAATTACTAGAAATTCTACTAATTGGTTCGCTATTTTTAATTTAAATGAACCAATTGAGTCTGAAGAATCACCTCCTATACCGCTAATTTTATACACATCTTTGTAATTAATTTTTCCTTCTGTTGGTACTGCACCTTCTTTTATTAAATTTACTTCTGCTCCCGTATCTAATAATAAATTTACGGGTTTTGTAAAACTACTTATTGTCATGGTGATATAAGGACTGAATTTAAGTGATTCTTTAGTTACGGTATTAATTCTGACGCAAGATTCTGGGTTTCTGTTACATTGACTGAGCGATTTTGATTTTGAAAAGTCCCCTGATTCACGCCCTGACGATGGGGACTCTGATCGTTTCCCTTATCTCTAAGCCTGTTCTGATAAATGCGTAACCTACATTCTTCTATTTGATGCTCTTGCCTTTGGCAATATTTACATTCGTTATTGCTAGCTTTAGGTAGACTTTTACACCTAGCTGCTGTATGGCCGATTCTATTACAAATTTGACATTTAAATTGGGCTCTAGACTCGATTTGTTTTTCATTTTAATTTTGTTCGTTAGGTCTTTTATAAAGTGGGTTTTGATAACATGTTTTTGCATTATGCCCTAACTTATCACAGATTTGACATTTTTCCGGACCGTTGGCTCTACAAAACTTTGCATCGTGTCCACTCTTATTACAAGTTGGACACGTTTTGATTTTATAGAATTGTAATGCAGAATGTCCTTTACGATTACAAATTTGACAAAAAACTATAGCATTTTCAAGGTTAGTGTTCATGGGTTGAGGTGGATTGTGTTCTTCAGTTTGAAAGATTTCCCTCCTTTTTTGATTTTTTGTTTCCGAAAATACTCGTCTCTTATCTTTTTGAATTAATATTTTCTTTTCGATTCTGATCGCTTCTCTAATAAGGTCGTTTATAGTGACCTGATTGGTCAGTTTTTGTTCGATTTCAGGCAGAAGGCCTTCTTTAACCTTTAAAGTGCTAAGTGTTGAAAAATCACGCTCAGTGCTAACCCCGGTCTGTCAGACCGCTATTCCCTTTTGACAGTTTTTTAGTCATTTATAATTTTTAAAAGACAACTATTATAAATATTTTTTACTTTTTAACAAAAAAAGTCATTTCTGTATTATGCCATGTTTACTGGATGTGGGATAACGTTATTTAAATTTATATTTGGATCAATATTACCTAAATTTGAATTTAAAAAATCGTTTCCTAATAAAACTTGGTTAAGATTCTCTGAATCTAAATAAATTATAGTGGTATCGTTTGAATCGTTTGAATAATCTAAAATTTTTGCATTAGGTGTAGAGGTGTAAAAGTGTTTATTTGGATTTATTGGTGTATCTGTTTTTTGTATATGTCTGATTGTGGTATCGTTGTGTACGTCGGAGTACGATGAGTCGGTGGAAAGATCTAAAAGAGGCTTTATATCACTTGTAGGCGAACTTGGTACTATTTGGGATTTACCGAAAGGATTAAATTGTTGAATTTCTTCGGATAACTTTGGGTCGTCTTTTGCTCCTTGACGAGTGATTCTTTTATCACTCATTAATAATAAAAAAAGTATATAAAAAATATATTTTTTTTATAGAGGATAGGGATGAGAAAAAAAAATATTTTAATTAATTATTTCTCGTTTTTATTATTAGCAGATTTTTTTGGGATTTTATAACTTTTTCTCCAATCTTCTAAACAATTTACACACCTATTGGGTATCAACATGTGTTTACATAAATTTTTTCGCATTAAAGCTATCTTAGTATCTAAGCTAAGACTTTTGTATACACTGGGGTGGACTATGGTTGAACAATTTTCTTTTTCCTTGGAAGAAAAAGGAATTGTTTTTATTTCTTCGTCTTTAGGAAGAGGTGGAAGTGGTACAATTTCCACTTCTTTGGGAAGGGGTGGGAATATTAAAGGTTCTTCTTCAATAACGTTTAATTTTTGGCTAAGAGCGTCTCGCTCTCTTCTTAATCTCCTAAATTCTTGGATCGGTAACAAAGATTCTCCTTTCGCTGCTTTAGCTTTGGCTAGTCTCCTATTAATAGCCTTTCTTTGTGTTCCGGTCAACTTCTTCGGTGCCGTAAAATATTCAGACACTAAAAAAAATATAAGAATCAATCACTATTCCGTTAAATCAATAATTTCTGGGAATGTAGAATTTCGTACTAGATTTTCTTTAGCAAGAGCTTGAGTTCTTAACAATATTGCTTCTTCAACTGTTAAATCTATCTCAACAAAGTTTTGGGGTTGCACCTGCTCGATTTGGATAGGAACCCGTAATGTTGGCTTAACAATTGCAATAGGAACAATTTTGATAGGTTTTTTGATCAAATTATGATACATCCATGAACTATTTGGAATAGTTACGAATTTTTTATTTCCTCTTTTCCTTTTATTAGAGGAATTTTCTTTTAAAGGAGGATTGTTTTCCATGGATGATAAGGATATTTTCAGATTCTTCAAAAATAGATATATTCTATTCGAGAAAGCAGAAATTTTTTAATTAATTTTAATTTTATAGAAAATTAAAATTAATTATCCTTTTAATTGAATTGGAAAGGGTAAGGGGGATGGTACTTAGAGGCATAACGGGGGCGGTGCGTACAACTCCTACTGCTGCCCTTGGTGCCCTCTTGGGGCTAGAACCCTTACACCTTACAATTAAAGCAGCGGCGGTTAAGGCTGCCCTGCGGTTGAGTGGTCCTGTGGGCCGCAGGGAGGTGGGCAGATGGCGTCTCCCAAAGAAATTGGTGAGAATCCCCCTTCTAAGTATGATTAGGGACAGAACTGTCCCTTTGTACCTCTTCGACAAAAAGTATAGGATTAATATACCTAGTAGAGAAGATTGGATAAATGGACTGACAAGTATTCCAGCTGACTGTGAAGTCTGGTACACAGATGGATCAAAAGGCGGGAATGGAGTTGGTGCAGGAATCTATCATGTAACCTCCCAAGTGGGACACTCCTTTAAGTTGGGGACCACTGTTACTGTGTTACAAGCCGAAATTGTGGCAATATTTTATGGCTGTAGACAAGCCAAGGTACTCATGGGAAGTAGTATTAACCCTATGAGGAAAGCGGAATTCCGCAAATTAAATAGAAAAGAGGCAAAGATCATAACAGGGCTATTAACTGGCCATGGTGATCTGCGCTATCATAGGCACAAAATGGGGATCCTAGACGACCCGAAGTGCCGTAGGTGTGGAGAGGAATATGAAACCCCGATACACATCTTGTGTCACTGCCCTGTACTTGTGAAGGAGCGGAAACACATTACGGGCTACTTCTTTCTGGGGGAGACCGTTATTGCTACCAGAAACCTGGCCGAAGTCCTCCTGTTGTGGAAAGGACTTCGGATATAGGGGTGGTTATGGGGAACGTAAAGGGATTACCCAATCGTTAGTGGCGTTGACCTGCAAGGTCCTAAGTCCACAACCCTCTTCTTAATAATTAATAATAATCCTTTTAATTAAAATAATTAAAATATTCAATGCTGCAGTGACACGCATGCTCTAATGCAGCTATTGTGTATCTGCGCGTATGAACAGTAAAATTTGGTTCAAAATTTTAGTATTTTGAAATAAATTTTTCTTCTTTTAATTATTTTGGAAGAAGGAAGTGATGGGTTTTCAAAATCTTATCACAATTCTATTTTTATAAGATTGTTTAGTTGGAACAGAATAAGGAGATGGAATGTTTTAAATAATTACCTTATATTAAATTTTTTCAATATTCTTTTGGACTAGAATTTTCTTCATTTAATTCATTTAATTAATTTCATTTCATTTAATTCATTTTATCAATAAAAGAAATGAGGAAAACAAAATTTCTACAAACTTTTATAAATTTTTAAATATTTTCTTTTACAAGTTTCTAAATGATAATTCAATTCCATAACTCTTACTTCATGTAATCCTGTATAAGGACAGATAATTTTTTCTTCTGATTGAGGATAATTGTTCCTTCTGCATGTAATCGAGCAAAAGCAACATCCAATTAATTTATTAATTCTTCTTTATTTTAATGTTAAAAAAAATTTTTCTCATATGTTCAGTTTTCCAAAAAAAGGAAAATATCAACAACAACAAAATTTATTAATAATCAGTACTTTAATTTGGTACTTTTTTTAAATAGTTAACTTTGTGAAAGCAAAGTCAAGTTCGTCTACAATAGTTCTCTTGCCAAGGATAGTCGAGTAGGTACGAAACTAAACGTCTAACTACGTTATTTAAAAGTCTGTTTTCTTCAACAAGTACTTTCAATTGATTCTTTTTTTCATTTGGTAATGAACTAAAGATTCAAATCTTTGAGATGAATTATTATTAGTAATGTTTAAAACAAAATTATTAATTAATTTTGCAGTAAATTTAATATTTTCCTCTAACTTTTGTAGAGAATTTAATGTATTATTAAATTTTTTCATATAATTATAAATAACCTGTACTTTAGATTGAAAAGGACTTTTTACTTTTTCATCATTAATCATTAACTAAATTTTTGATTATTTGAGAATAAAATTAAGCATCATCCGTATCGAATGTACCGTATAATGAATTTGTAGTGTGAGAAATACGATTGTATAATATGCCGCTTTTACGTTCTGAAGTAATGGAAGTTAATTCCTCAAAATTTTTATTTTCATATTAATATCAATAATTAATTGTACTATTATTTGTAAATCTTTATTACAATTTAAAGTACTATTTTTTTCTACACTATGAATTTTTAAAAAAATTTACATGAAAATGTAATTTCATTATAATTTATTTATTTATTTGAACATAAACGGGTATCAGACGAACCCTTTCGTACAAAAGTACTTAATTGTAAATTATATAACAAAAGACCTTAATAACTATATTAAGGTAAATTATGAGAACGCTAGGCGGAACTATAATGTTAATGGTAGTAGTATAACAATTTTTGCAATGCAGTTATAAATCTATTCAATGAAGTGTCGAAGAATTCAACTGAATCACTTACAGCATTTGCTTCCCTACTCAACCTTATCATCAATGAATTATTTACATAGTTTGTATTATGATGTTCAATTCTAAACAATGAGCGATATCTAGATGGTCTGGAAGGTAAACTTAAATTTATTAGTGACAAGAGTGTTGGACAATTTACAAAAGCATTGAATATTTTGAACATAAAAATCAGGTCTGCATACAGAAATCAAGTTACAATCTTAGGCATTTTTAGACGCTCACGCAAGTTATCATAATTATGTTCATGAAAATTGAATGGTATATATAACTGTCTCGCCGCAAAACGAAGAAAACTGAAAACAAAACGAATAATGATTAGTTATTTCTATAAAAGCATCTTTCAAACGAGTTGAATTAAGGTGAGCAAGAAGTGTTAATTTTTGGTTTGAAATGTGTGCTGTTCCAAGCTTATGATAAATAATCTCACTTCTATAATATTGAGAGGTTCATTTAAATAAGATTCACTAAGGATGTTAACTGGAAAGAGAAATAAAAAAAATTGTTTATTACTAATTGATATGTTTAATGTGGAATTTGCTTCATCACATGCAATTGCTGATAAGATTTCTTCAACTGAAATTGATTCAGATTTTAAACAACAACAATATTTTTTATTTAAATAATTATATTTGTAACATTAATGCAATGATAATAATAAAAAAGTATAATAACAAAAACTTCATACCATTTATAATTAAAAAAAGTCATTAATGGTTTATTGATACAAGTAACACTAATTTCCTTAGTATCGTTTAATGTTCTTCTAAAGGAAGAAATTTTTTTTCGATTGGGATAATAAAAAATGTTTATATTTGGTAATAACGTAGGAATATGTTGAAGTAGTGTAATTTGTAATTGGAACTGGTATCAAGTGATAAAAATCAAAAACAATTTTAGATAATAATGGTACTCGTATTATGAATATAGTTATTTCATTTGTGAGAAAAATATCAACTTTTAATAATTTATTAATTAAAGAGAGGTTGTCTTTATTTAAAGAACTCAATGATTTATATTCTCCTTCATATTTTTCTAGTTCTTCCACCAATATAATGAAATGTAATGAAAACCCTAGGAAAAATTTTTATACCCTGATAAAAAACCAAAAAGTACCCCAAAAACCGCTTTTTTAAATTTTCAAGGTTAGATTTCTCAAAAATCTAGAGTGATGGAACAATTCTGATTACGGATTCGCGTTCGGCATTAAAAAACCCATAAAAATGACACTATGCGATCCCAGAAATAGAAATGCTGTTGCACTGTGTTATATAGATAGAGCAAACATATATCCTAATTTGTAAGGTGCAATTCTAAAAAGAAGACATTTATCTATATTTTTAATTTATGTACAATAAATTGATTTCCACTCAAAAATATCTTGAAAAAATAAAAGAAAATCACATTTATTTTTTTGTTTTAGATGATTCTCTTGCGAGTTAGAGTGTACACCTCAAATTTTTCGAGGCGCCTGGAGAAAATCTCAATATCTAGCAAAAATAAATTAACTTTCTGCGTATTGCCAAAAGAAAATTCTAAAAGACATGCGTTTTTTACCGAATTAACTATACCCCACCTCAAAATGACCTTACATTTTAGAATTTGAGCAAGAACTTTCAAAAACTAAATATTCATATATTTATTTAGTGGAAAAAGTAATTAAAAAACAAGGTAGAAAAAATTATTTGTAAAATGACTAGGCTTTGATAATACCAAGAAAAATAGAGACAGAAGGGCTAACTCGGCTGTTTTCTCACTCACAGCAGTGAGTCAGTATTAGTGGGGTTCTGAAGGCGTAATTAGATTGCGCCAAATATCTTGTTTTCAGTTCTGCACATCTCAACACTCAATACGTGACACGCGTGTGTGAGTGGAAGTGCAGAATCAAAACACGATATTTGGCGCAATCTAACCACGCCTTCATAATCCCCCTATATTTGTCCTACCCCCACTACTGCAGTTAGTCCTCCTGTCTCTAGTCTTCTTGGATAATACTTATAATAACTGGATAAGCGATTCTGATTTGTAATGTACTTGATTTCTGAAAAATTAAATAAAGGTTTCACAAATAATAACACGAATTATCTATTACATCATTTTAATTTTAT